AACCCTAATTAATTCCCACTATCCACTCTCTCTCTCTACCTTTCTCCCACAGCTGTCCTCTTCCTTCTCTCCTCTCTATCCGACGACCTTCACTGGTGATGCACAGTCGCCGGTGACTTACCTCTACCGCCAAGTAGCGGCGTCTTCTCCCAATCGAATCAGAGGCAGATCTACACTCCTCCGTACCTCTTTCTAATTTCAATTTCACGTAAAAAAATGCAAGAGAAATCCCAGAGACAAAACAGTCGCGGTAGAGATCAACACATTCTTAAGCGAAATCGGTACTGGAAAGCACATTCGTCGTGTTGTGTTTGTGGATCTGTACACTACTGTGATAGATGAGGTCCGCACCGGGACATACCGCCAGCTATTTCACCCAGAATAGTTGCTCACTGGAAAGGACGATGCTGCCAACAACTTTGCTAGGGGGCTGTACACCATTGGCAAAGAGATTCTTGATCTTTACCTCGGCAGGATCTGAAAGCTATGTGGTGGCTGTGCAGTTGGTGGTGTGCTATGGGTTGTGAACTGTGGCGTGGTGATGTGGTGGTGGGGGGTTTGGCTGTGGCAGGGGTTGTTTTGTGGTGGTGGTGTGGTGCCGAATATTTGATTTTTGTTTCCTTCTCTTTGTGGTTTTCAGATCGCGAGGTGGTGGTGGTGTGCTGCCGGATTTTTGGTGGTGATGGTGTCGATGTTAGTGGTGGTGGCAGGGACGGCGATACGGCATGTGGCAGTGGTGAGGTGATGGTCACGGGGTGGTCAAAGAAGTCGGTGGCGATCACGAAGATGGTGCTGTTTGTTCTGGAAACAACGACGGTGGTGGTTACGGGGTGGTCACAGAAGTCGGTGGTGATCACAGAAGTCGGTGGTGATCATAGAAGTTGGTGGTGGTCACAAAAAAATCTAGCTGTGTCCTTAAAATTGTGACTAAAAATTAATTTGTCACCAATAAATTTGAAAATATGTAACTTAAAATAACTGTGACCTGTAATTTTTTGATCCGTGACCAA